CAAAGGGCCCACAAGAAGGCACGACTGTGTTATACAGGCTGGAGGGAAGAGAGAGCAAAGCGGGGGTCAGCACAGCCCAGCACCACGGAGGGATGCTGCTGCTGCTGGGTCCTTGGGCACCCCCAAGCTCACGGTGGAATGGGGCAGCAGCGGTATGGGCACATTGAGGGGTGCAGTTGTGGGGGTGCTTCATGCTTGTGCAGTGGGGACAGGCTACAGTCGCTGCCCCGGAGGGGTTGTGGCACCCTTGTGCACCTGTGCAACACCTAAGGCCACACAGCAGACTCCCGCTCACCCCGTCCCCTCCCCAAGCCCTCAAGTGCTCATTCAGGCTAAAGCAACGGCACCGGTTAATGAAGGAGCCCTGTTTCCTTGCTCGGCTCAGGCGGTCAGGCAGGGCCGATGCCGTGGGAGATGGTTGGAAAGCAGCTGCGAGCAGCCTGCAGGCGCAAGGGCAAACGGGGAGCCCAGCCCGGCTCCTCTCCCCTGCGCCGGTTAAGGCAGGGAGAGGAGGAGGAAGCGAAATCCGCGTCAGCTCCTAGGAAAGGTAACTGCCTGCCCGCACCAGGAGCGAACTCCACTCTTGCCCCAGCTGGGGGCTGCCTCCTAGTGCAAGTCCATCACCATCCACGCCGAGCGAGTCCCTTCTTCCCATCAAGGTGCTGGGCCCCAAAAGCAGCGGGAGGCTCTCCCTGACCTGCCCCAAGCATCCTCGCCGCAGGGCCGCCCAGCCCACGGGCTGCTGGGGACAACGCTGGGCACAGCTCCAGCAGCGAGGCTCGGGGGGCGCACGTAAGGACAGGGTGGCTCAGACCATCAGGCAGCCCTGGCCCCAGGACGGCTGCTTCCTCCAGCTGCACGGGGAGGGGGATGGCGGCAGAGAGAGGCAGAGGGGTTAGCGGGGACTGGGACGGTGCAGGCTGTGGCGTGACCATGCGCCTTACCTGGGTGTCACCGTGGTGATCTCGGTGGTGGGGTGGAGGATGTGGCAGGTGGTGATGGTGAAGGTAGACGGGGTCTGGGGGAGGTTGTTAACAGAGAGGAACACTGGAAGGGACAGGAGACACTGGGTTATTGGAGCGGGGAGACACAGACACAGAGAGCACCTCTCCGGGCACACGGGACTAGAGCTTGGCAGGGAGCGAGCTGGCACAGGCGGCTGGGACCTGCATGCAGCGAGCAGGGACGCAGCCCTGGTGTCCCCAGGGTCCGGATGCGTTTTGGAGTGGGGTGTGCTTGGAGGACAGCACTGCAATCCTGCACCAGAGCCAGAGCCAAGGTCCTGTCCTTTCTGCACATCTGGACCACAGCTCGCCCAGGGCGAAAAGCCAGGCGCTGCCAGGAGTGATGCCCTCGTGCCCCTGCCCCACCAGGTTGGGCAGACGGAGCATGCACGTGGGGATGGACAGACAGCACGGACAGGCCATTGCCGTCAGAGAGAGGACAGTGAGGAGGGGGGTGCGAGGAGCACAAGGTGCACAGCCAAAGCCAGGGCAGGAGTGCAGGGGGTGCTGGGTGCCACACGCCTGCCTGCCCCCGGCCCGTGCTCACCGCCGGGGCGCTCCTTGGCCTTGGCGGGCATTGAGGTAGGGAGCAGCTGGAAGGAGCCGGCCTCCACGTCGTCCTCCTCCAGGT